TCTGTTTCAATTATTCGTTTTCTTGGTATTGTAAAGGTCTGGTACCGGGCACTACGTGTCCCACCTTTCAAAACTGCAACATTTAAAATTATTTAAGTAAAGGAATTGACAGTACATGAAGTCTCTGTATACATAAGGGACTTGTTCAAATATGTTTATTAAAAACGCGTGCAAAATCAGGAAGGTTAAGATTGTTATTCTAGGCAAATTATTGTTATAAAAAGTAAATTCTAATAGTTTGAAAAAAGCCATTCACTGGTAGAATGAATCTCATGTTGTTCCCAAACTACTGAGACTCTGCTTATTAAGAACTTCATTGAACAAAATATGTTCTCAGAAGAACTGATCCCTTTGATATGTGATATTTGATCCCTTTCCTTTTAGTTTTACTCTTAGAAATGGATCCGTTTTTTACTCCACTTTTTCATATTTTACTTATAGTGATTGATTGCCCTTTGTTTCCCATGATGCCGGAATATTGATCCGGCCATTAGGGATTCTTATTTAAATTCCCTCCATTGCCTCGATAATGTATTCCTTTATGGATCCTTTATTGGGAAGCAACCCCCAATGCGTTGCTGTTCGATTGCCAATGTCTTTGACACTCCATCAATAATTTAACCGCATTTTCAACGTGCAGCAAGCAACGTGCAGCATGCACCTGCAACTGTGGGACCGAGCCACCTGCCACGAATGCTGGAAGACAAAAGGAGTGCTGAGAGGGAAGACACCTTCAATTACGCCGGGTTCCGCCCCTAGTCGCCTTTCTTCCACTCCAATTGGCCTAAAACGCATATATCAGAGTTGTGACACATGGTGCTCGAATATTGATTAGTGTAAGTGCCATTAAGGGCGGCATCCACTTCTGCTCCCCCTCCTGCTGTTTCCAGGACTACGTGACCAGCCAGCAGAGGGGATTCCGGGCAGACAGCTGTTCGCCTTATCCTTTCCGAATCCCCTTTAGAGTGCAAAAACTTATCCCGCAAACAGGCCGGTTTCGCTGGCTGCCTGAGCATATCCCTGGGATATCGCCCCATTGTATCCTGTGCTCGGCCGGCCCAGGTTCCTTCCTTCTTCTGGCCTTGTGCAGCACAACAAACATGCCACATTTGCGCCTAGTTTACGACAGCTGCCGAGCATCTTACTCGCTCCCTCGTGGCTACATCTTGAGCTCCTTCCTCGGAGCTACCCTTACTTTTTGTGTTTCTGCTGGCTGTTGCTTCCTGGCGGCTGATTGATCCTCGCTTCGATCTTGTTACAGCTGCTGCCTAAGTTGCCGGTTCTCAGTTCTCAGTTCCCAGGTATGCGGGCCGTTGTCCTGTCTTGGGATCTGTGTTTACCCACCTTTCCTTTTTGCTGTCATCTTGTTTTTTTTTGCTTGTCTCAACGTTTGCTCTAATTGTTATTTTACTTAGCAAGCATTTTGCTTAGAGGCGGATTAGGCCTTAAAGAATAAATGTTGTATACGCTGTGTGTTCTCTTCTTTTCATTTCGGCCCTGCACTGGGATTGATGAATATTTCAAAATTCGCTTAGTAACCCTTAAAAAACACTTAACGCAACTTCTTGAAACTGTTTTATTTTCTATCACTTCAAAAAATCAAAATGTAAGCATGATACTTCGTTCTTCTCTTGTGAGCATATGCCTTGAAGACTGCATAATTTTTCAATGGTTTGTTATTCAAAGGCCGAGTAAAGATTCTGGGTTTAGATTATCTAAATCTCAGGTTTCTAGGTGGTTGAAGTTATCCATATTGACACTCGATAACCATCTATTAAACTGCAAAGTGCCACCCGATTTTTTAACAGCTTACCGTGAATATTCTGTGATGTTTTTGAAGCGCAAATAAAAATAGGGATTCCCAAACTTAATTTACGGATGCTCAGTTAAGCGCTTTATTCAAACAAAAGGCACTTACCAAAATCACATCCTATGTTCCCTTTGATCACCCAATTATCCCCTAGATAAGTAGATATTTGTAGTTTCCCTTTTGCCAGACATTCCTTACTCCGTTTTGAGCCTTAATTCAATAAGGGATATACCAGACGCTTAGTTTATTTCCTGGAATCCGAGCAATTCCTTTGATTTTGCTTTCTACCAGCTACCGGCCCTCTTGGCATTTGCCAAAAATAACGCTCAATTCAATTTAAATATTTCTATCGTTTATTTGACGACGTGTTTGTTGTTTGCCTGAATGTTTTCTTCGCGTTTGCGGAATTCTTTCCGCAAAGGGGACAAGGACAACCCTTTTATACGACCATTAACCCACAGCCATTGTTTGCTAGAAATAGAGAGGGCCATCGCGAAAGGGCAGGAGTGAGCACACACACATCCAACTCAGACACGCTAATACAATATTTATAGTTGGTGTTTTACTTCCGGCTGTCTCGGCCTGGCTCCTTTTATTGAATTGAATTTGTCGCACAATGGAAATAAAATTGAAATGTGTCCAGGAAGCGATTCCCGAATGCAAAGCACGCTCAAGTTGTCGAAAAAAAAAATATTTGTGTGGCATAGGGGTTGATTTGGTATCCTGATTCCGCGTCTGCTTCAGGCCATTAGCTGCAGCAACAGGATAATCACAATTGCAGCAGCTGGCTGTCAGCGGACTACAAAAAAGGGGGTTAGAAAACGAAGCGGGAAGCTTTCAAAAGCGTACAGAACTTGACCATGAAAAAGGATTAACTTATTTTTCAATTACAAAACATATCGCAAGCAACCAAAAATGTAATTTGGCTTACAGTAGAACTTCGTTGAAGTGTACATCTTCACGGAAATTATTCTGTTTTTAAATTGATTAAATTTGAATAATTTTGAAGCAAAGAAAAAAAGAAATATTTTACTAGAAAAATAGTTTACTTTTTGTTAAATGTTGAAGACATGTTTCGAACAGGAAAAATGTTCTTAAAACCCTAAAATATCTGTTAGTATCTTCGGAAAAAGCAAGTATTCGATGTTTTATGTGGCAGATGGTGAATTGAGTTCTTCTGGGTAATTGACGGTCCTTTTCTTCCTGACCTGAATCTAATGAGGCATGAAGGTGTTTTTGTCGGTTTTGGAAATTCGACACCAGAGTTTTCGGAGCAACAGGCTCGCGCTGCCACCGTGTTTTGTTGAGAAATCCCAATCGATTGGGACTTCCAATTGGGAAAACCATCCATCAGGTGGCAACGCTGTTCTTAGGCTTTTCTTTTTGTCTGTTTTTTTGTCTACGTGACCAAACTACATTGTATGTGTGTGTTATGTTGCACCCCCAACCCCGATATTAAGCAACAACAACAACAAAAGCGAGGAAGTCGGATGGGAAAAGAGAGGTAGAGAGCGATGGAGAGGCAGCTAGAAAAAGAGAGAGAGCGGGTGGTGAAATGAGCGGAGTTGGAGTTGCTCTCCCAATCGGTAGGCCTTGCTCTTTATTGTTTTTTGTGCATTCGCTGCATGTAACATTTGTTGCCCCACACAAACCAATATATAAATATACACTTAGTATATATAATTGAGCTGCATATGGCAGCATATGTCGACTCAAAACCACAAAAATACAACCGTAACAACACAAACAACGAGAAAAACTCGCCCAGCATTGCAGCAACATTTGTTGCAGCTGCAGTCTGGGTGTCTTGCATTCTTTAAAAACTCTGACTCACGTACTTGTTTCGATGTCTTTTTTTTGTGCAGCAACATCAGCGATAAGAGTTTTTGAGTTGCATTAATGTGGCAGCCCTTTTTTTTATCTATATGGAACACATACGTTGTGGATTTCTCCCTCTCTTTCTTCCATCCACCCGCTGCATTTGCAGCGACAACAACAATGGGCTGCTGTGATTGCTGGCTCAGTTTAGCAGCTTTACAGCTTAACAGCCTGTTATTGGCCTGTTAACCGAGCTGCGCTCTTTGCTGCCTTCCTGTGTTTTGTGTGTTTGTTATTCTTCTGCCTCGATGGTGATGGTGTTGTAAACATGTGTTTACATGGCTCACCACCAACCGGATGTTGCTAATGACCGCAAAGCTAAAAAGCAAATCAGACGAGGAACAAACACCATTATTCACACCGATATGGGTAGCACTCTTGGAAAGCTCAAATACAGATTTCGGGAATGTTTTTTAATATCTTTTAAAGATCCTCTACCGATGATCCATGTTAAGGGCGATTTTATGCAAAAAACGGGTCCTTATATGGAAAATATTATAACGGAGAAGAAACGTAGCTTAGGAAGGTGAACAAACAATAAATTAAACAAAAAAAGGAATTAAAATTCATACTCTGTAGCAAAACTTTAAAAAAGTAAAAGTTCAATGAATGAAATTTAGTTGATGATGCATAAATGTTTTGTTTTTATGGAAAATATAGATTGACAAAGTTTGTTTTATACAACGTTCATACAAGCTGTTTATTTTTACAAACTCATTAAGAAACCAAATTAGAAATGAATCTAAAAGTTGTTATGTTTTCATAATATTTTGAGCAAAAAGAGCACAGTACTCATTTTAATAAAAAATCCTATGAAACAAAAATCTTTATTCAATATTTTTTTCGTAACATTTTGTTCGTTTTCTTTCGCTGCCTTTTTTATTGAAGTAAGTTTCATGACTTACCCTAAATAATCAAGTAATGGCTTGTTACCCAAAGGAGTTGAGTAATTATAAATCAGATTTATCCTAAACATGATGACTGTAGGAATTTCCAGCTATGAAGTCAATATATGAGTCATTTCTCCACTTATTTTCTTTATCAAAGTATTATTTTCTTGAATATAAAACCTGATTATCTGTCAGTGTACTTACACCACTTATACTAAACCTATAACAAAGGCGTTCAACTGTTTGATAAAGTCTTCCTCTTTGATTGTGTAATACGAAATATAAACTTGAGCCAACTACATGCTAGTTGCTAGTTGTTATCATTTGCTTAGGTATTTATCAGCTAGTTTCATTTATTTGTGAATCACAAACCAAACATTCACATACTAATTTACCACTTCCTGCGTTCTTGTCGTTTGCAGCAACGTACCGAACTCAGCCCGCCGACCCACCAAACATCCGCCACCGCCGAAGTAAATGCACCGCTGGCCAGCTCCACGAGTGCGTCCATTGCGGTAACGGCGAGTGCGACAACGGCCTCAGTCCCTCCGGCAACGGGCAGCACTACCTCAGGCTCCACCTCCAGCGGCAATGCAGGCTCAACCTCCAGCGGCAGCAGTACCGGAGGATCGGCGACCGGGGGAGCGCCATCAGTCGCGGGATCTGGCGGCTATCCAAAGACAGAATCGAGCAAGTCGAGTGGCTCAGGAAGTACAGGCGGTGGCAGCAGCAGCAGTAGCAGCGGCAGCAAGCACGGCAGCAACATCAAGGACATCAGCAGCAGTAGCAGCAGTCAGCAGCCGACGACTGGGAGCAGCAGCAGTGCACCCAGCCTGTATGTCTCTGTGCCGCTGTCCACGGCCAATGTACCTGGAATCAATCTGCCCACCAGCAGCAGTAGCAGTAATACCACCAGCGGTGAGTTTCTAGCTAATATTGGGTATACAAGAAATAGCAGAAAAAAAACGATTTCTAGAAAGAACCAGAACGACTATCAGGTACCCGCTACTTAGCTAAGGGAGTTTAAGAGAGATATGCAGAAGCAAAGTGACTGTTTTTGAGATTGACCAAGAGTTTCACCTACATTACACTACGGTTACATGAATAGCTTATAACTTTAATCAATTGTCCGATATTTTTCATTTAGATGGGTATTGACAAAACAAACATTACCTAACGCCTTAATAAAATCTGCACCTAACAATTTTTTTTTAGGTAGGTTCTGCTAAACAAATAAATATCCTATTTAAACTTTTACAAAATCTTAAAAAATGTTGCCAACAGATAGATTTTAGAGCTATGGCTTACACACTTTTCAACGAATAAATATACATATTCTTTTGATTTGGTATCAAAATAGTATTTTTACAAGATTAAAAGTATTAGCATTACAAGAATTAAACAGGGATTCATTCACAGCATTTGTTTGCCTTACTAGATGATTAACTTTATGTTTAGATTTATGCACATCATGGATTTAATTGAATGGTGGCTTGGAATTTTCGTAATAAATACTAATAATTGCATTTATTTTCTTGCAGAATCCCATTCAGCTTCATCGCGTGGAAGTGGCGCCCAATCGCAGCAGAGCAATCTACCGCCCATGGGTGGATCAACTGCAGCGTTTCACGGTGGTGCGAGCAGCGGTGGCCCCAGCGGTGGCTCCTCGTCGGTCATCCAGCACCAGAGCGGCAAGTCATCGCCGGCCTTGGGCACCCTAGTCAGCGGGAACAGTGGTGGCAGTATAATCTCCGCCAGTGGAGTCCCACTAGCCAGCGGCAACCTCACTGCCACGACCACGGAGAGCGGGAACTTGAAGATCAGCTTTGAGAAGCAAACGACCAGAGTGCAGCAGTTGCAGGAGCAGGAGGCGCCACCGGCACGACGGAGCAGGTATGCGGAAGCTGTTCGTCTGGAAGTCAGCACCCCGACTGACTTTATAATATCATATTTGTTGCCTGTGCTTGCTCGTGGTTTTAGTTTATACTTGATCGTAGATTTATGTTTTCAAATCCTTTATAAAGCGTTTTTGTTGTTGTGTTGCTCTGCGTGTGTAGATTGTGAAACGTCCTAAGTTTACCATTCGATGAAATTTCATTTTGTATAATTTCAAAGAAATCGTAAATGGTACTTCAGAAAAGTGTAAAGTAAACGTTAATGGTTGGATTCTTAAAAGATTCTTATGCTTAGTTATGATAATTTTCCCTGATTTAAGACGTTTAATTTTGTCATTTTCGATTTCTTACAAAAGTATCCGACCTGAATTCCCTTTCATTTAGTTTTTACCTTTCACAGCTAAGGCTGAATTAGACACAATACACTTCATTTCATTATTTCGTTCAATTGATTTTCGGACCCGGCGAAGTTGAAAAACTCAAAGTAAAAAAGCGCGATCTATAAAAACCACTCTTTTTCTCTTTATCTCTCTCTCTCGTTTGCTTAATGTCTTCCCACACTATACACGATATGATCACCCAACCACCCACCCGTCACACGTAGATCGCGCTCCGGTGAGAGTGGCAGTAGTCACCACCATGCCCACCACCACCACCATCACCCCACCCACCACAATAGCCATCACCAACAAAATCCACAGCAGCAGCAACAATTACACCAACAGCAGCCACAGAACGCGTCATCACAGCAGCCACATGCGCTGCACTCCTCCACCAACTCGTCCTCATCCTCCACCACATCTACCTCCTCGTCCTCCCTGACTGGTGGCTCTGCCTCCGCCTCAGCCCCAGCCACATCCTCCTCCAATTCCAAGGGTCCCTCGAGATCGGGGAAAAAGCGTGGGGCTGCGCAGAGTAAGAATGAGGGAACTTCGGTGGCGACAACGGCAACACCAGCACCAGTTGCCGCCACACCAGCCGAGAAGCAGAGTCGCCACAGTTCGCCCCACTACAGTGCCACGCCCACCCCGCCACCGTCGACTGCGCCACCACCGGTGGTGTCCTCGCCGGTGGTTATGTTGCAATCCCTATCCTCGTCTTCGGTCGATTCCCCGCCAGTAACAGTGGCTACAGCGACTGCAACTAATCGCAACACGCGCAACAACAGTAGCAGTAGCAACACCAATCACAATGGCGAGCCGACGTCCTCGTCCTGCTCGTCCACTTCGTCCTCCTCCTCGAGTGGCGGCTCCAGTGGTGTGGCCAATGTGGTTAATCTGCTAGACTCGCCGGTTAATATGTCAGCATCCGGAAACTATCGCGGCAGCAGCAATTCCACCAGCACTGTGTTGCCGCCGAGCAGCAACGGCAGCAGCCAAGCCAAGCCCCTGAACAAGAAAATGTTGCGTGCGCAGCAAACGCAGCTGTATCAGCAACAACAGCAGCAGCAACAACAACAGCAGCAGCAGCAGTATGCACCCCCCGCTAGATCCAACTCCCCCACAAATCTTAGCTCAGCCTCAGCTTCCAACTCCGCTAGCTTTACGCACTTGCAACAACAGCAACAGCAACAACCACAGCAGCAACATGAAGATCTAGAGATATTGCAATTCACTAATACTAATACCACTCCCTCTTCCAATACGCCCACGTCGAAACCCAACAACAGAACGCCCGATCTCAGCACGGCCAGCAACTCATCGTCATCAGCATCTGCAGTGCCCGCAACAACAACCACTCCTTTGGTCATGCTGAGCAACCAGTTGCCACTTAACTCGATGGCGGGTGGTGGCTCTTCCGGCGGCCTCAAGTTCACCTACGAGAGTCAGACGCAGCTGGACGTGCCCATGATGCCTGTGAGCGCCATAAAGGACTCGCCACCCAGCTCGCCCGGCTCAGAGATTGGATCGGCCATGCACTCGGCGACGGCAGCATCCGGTTCCCTGACCGCCGCAGCTCCAACATCGGCGGCGGCTCAGCCTGGAAATGTCCGGAAACGTGGACGCAAGGCAAAGGACTCGACGATAGCAGCGGCGGCGGCGGCGGCTGCGGCAGCAGCAGCAGCTATCAACAATGCTCAACAGGATCTCAAGGATGTGCGCATACTGCAGAATGGGGTGGCCAGTGGCTCGAGCAATCCAGCCAGCAGCACGCCCACGCCCCCTGCCACGCCTGCTGCCTCCACGACTGCCAGTTCAGCCAGTTCGATCATCACGCACACGGCTGCCCATATGTTGGGCAACCAGATCAACCCAAACAGCAGCGTGGCCCAGAAGCTGTCCGAGCAGTTGCACATGGAGGTGCAGGATCACTCGATCTACACTTCCGACTCCATGAGCTCGCAGTACACCGGAGTTCCGTTCCCCGGCAAGCAGGTGAGGAGCAATATGCATTTAATAAGCTACAATATTAGTGATTCTTTTTGTGCAAGTCTGTGCTCTTTAAAATGTTTATAAATAGCCTCAGGTAGATTGATTGCTTAGTAAAAGCTAACTAATTTGTTCTTTGGTTTTCAGCGCAATTCGAGCATTGCCCCTAGTAACGCAGCACCAGCTCCAAATCCGCTGCAGTCGATGTTCAGCGGTGGTATGAACGGCAACATGCCCATTCCGCAGAGTCTGGAGCAGCTGCTCGAGCGCCAGTGGGAGCAGGGCTCGCAGTTTCTCATGGAGCAGGCGCAGCACTTTGACAGTGAGTATGAGTCGCATATCGGGAGCTTACTGCGGTCTTCGGAAACTAACACTTGGTATTTCTGTTGCAGTTGCCTCGCTGCTTAATTGCCTGCACCAGCTGCAGAGCGAGAACCTCCGGCTGGAGGAGCACGTGACCAGCCTGATAGCGCGACGAGATCACCTGCTGGCGGTCAATGCGCGTCTGCAGATCCCGCTAAACAGCATTACTAGTGGTGCCAAGGCCGAGGCGCACGGTAAGTAGAGAAGGCGCCTATTCTCTATTGTTCTTGGTGTCGGCACTCGCTCGCTCCCACCACGTGGCACTGGAGGAGCCCCACATCCACCCACTTACACAGCCATTGCTCACAGACCAAATTTTGCGTTTAGTTTTTCGTACTTACAATTTTTTGTTTGGTGTTCGTTGTACATACAAATGGAATTCGAGTCCAGTTCGTGTCGTAGTCTTAAGCGACTTATGTTAAGTTAACAACTAAACTGGTTACAAATGGTCATCTTTATAAACAAAATATGTACATATTATACACACCCACATTTGTCAATGAAATTCTGTTTGACAAACTTAAGCAGTGATGGTACAAATAACTTATTGCATTTATCGGCCACATTGACAGCTCGTCACTTTTTTAATACGGAATGCCTCTCTATCTTTATCATTAGTACATCCCCCGATTAGAATACTTTTCCTTAATTTAGACTTTTAAGTTAGTCATATGTATTTACGGTTAAATACAAAACCTAATTATACTTACCCTTGTATCGAAAAATTACTTCCTTGGCCAAGTTAACAGTTAAGTTCTTTTGATATCTGAAAGCTATTATTTTTCGATTTTATTTATTTTAAAAATGAATAAAATGTTTAATTATTAAACACAAAAACGAACACAACTTCTAAATTTATTTCATTAAGTTTTCATGATTTGCACCTAGAGTTTTAAATGGCTGCTAGGCCAGAAAAGGCATTGGGTTGAAGGTTAACTCTGGGTTAAGTGCTGTACTTTTAGTTAAGCCTAAGTTTCTTGTGTTGCTGTATGTTGCATGCAGTGAAGAAAGCCCACACACCCGCACACATATTTGAACACAACCCAACCACACCCCCTCACCAATCACAAACTAATACCGCACAAACACACAAATTTCGTGGAGATGGAACAGCAACAACGGGGTACTCACAATCTAACAAAATGCTTACAGCCGCCATATCAACAACGGCAGCTCCAACAACCACCACAACAACCTCAACAACAACAGCAACATCAACTTGTACAACTTCTGTCATTTCCACACTAGCTTCCAGCAGCAACAGCGGCAGCAGCAGCATCGGACTCGGCAGCAACATCAGCGCCCTAAATGCGGCCACAACCATCGCAGCAGCGGTTTCGCTGGCCACCACTGCCATCAATACCACCATCCCGACGATGGCCAACAGTCGACCCACGGTGGCAGCTGCCAGTTCCACCGGAGTAGTGTTGGACTATCGCGGACCAGGTGCCACAAGTAACAGCAGTGGCAGCAACAGCACCAGTGGCAACAATGCAACAAGCAACAGCGTGAACAGCAGCAACAGTAACCCTGCGACCTCTTCGAATGCCAGCGGGCCCGCTGCAACATCGATGTCCATCTCCGGCATGAACATGACCAGTGCAGCCAATTTGGGAATGAGGTGAGTTTTGTCCCCTCAGACAGAAAACTATTGGCTATACAGCTGTGTTTTTAACAACATATTGGCCAAATGACGTAGAAGGAGCCACTATTCGTAAAGTTTTATTGTTATTACTTACCTCCACCGATTAAAAAAAATTTGAATTAGCTATTGTAGCTAACGAGTAGTTAGTGACGAGTAATCGACTGCAGTTTAAAAACCTACTTCAGGTTATAACTGACCAACGGAAGTGGTTAACTGAAAAAGGAGAGCAAACAGATTCCGACCAAATCGGAATAGCTTTAACGGGTTTAGAAATACAGAGAACCGATATTACAACTTTCAAAAAAATCGTTTACCTTTTTCAAGTTTTGGAGCTACCATGAATTTTTTACAGCTTCCCTGTGTCATAAAATCATATTGTAACTGTTGCAACAGCGTTGAACAAGTATTTAAAAGCCACATTTGCCCATTTTGTTATTAGCAATATCCATTCAATAACCATTTAATCCATTCCACCCACCATAAAAATTCTTCTCTTCGAGGAAGAAAAGCACTATCACAAGCTATTCGTATTTGTTTGCGTATATATGGTCGTAGCCTTCCACAGTGAAAAACTTTAAGTTTATTCCATGTAATGATTTTATTAAATTTATTTTCTTAATATTCTATATTTCTAGACACGTTTCGGCCCATTCGTACAACAACGCCGGAAACAGCAACAGCAGCGTTGGGACCTTGAATGCCAACAGCGCCGTCAACAGCAACAGCTTGCATCACCAGCATCCGTCGCAGCTGCAGCAGCAACAGGCGCAACACCAGTCGCATCCTTCGCAGCAGCAGCAACAGCAGCAGCACGCGCAACAAGTGCAGCAGCATCTGCACCAGTCGCACCACACCAGCGCTGCTGTGGCAGCCGCCCACATGCTGGGCGTGGGAATGAGCCTGGGCGCTGGAGGTGGGTCTGCTGCTGGCATTGGACGAGGTGGGTCAGCGACAGCCATGGCTGCAACAGCAGCAACAACCACAACTACTTTTACGACCACAGCGGGCACGGGCATGGGTCAGCAGCACCACCACCCACACCCACACCAACATCCTAGCATTCAGATTCAAGTGGGTGGCGGCGGCGTTGGCGTTGACGGTTTAAGTAGCACCTCCTCCTCCTATGCGGTGCACCACGCGGCTCTCTACAGCACGCATCACCAGGTAGTAGAGTGCGTGCGAACGAGTTCCTGTGTGTGTGTCAGTGTGATTGTGGGTGCATGTCCTTGCCACATGAGAATCCATAATCCATATGCCAGTGCCTGTTATTCGTGCATTCTCACCTTTTCATTTTGCGTCAGCTCCATGTCTCATCTACGCACCACTCACTACCCACCAATCATTCAATCAGCCAATCAATCGGAAAAGCCCAAGAAATTTGTAAAACACACACGCCTCGATTTCGAATTCATCTGCTTTTGCGGCCATCTAGTTCATTGTTAATATCCCATTGCTGTTGGCAGATAACCCCGAAATTGTTTGTTGTTTTTGTGTGTCAGGCTGAAAGAGAACCCATGTGGTTGAATAAATACTCCCAAAACCAACTTAACATCGTCAATCCTTTTAAGTCCCTACTCAATGATGAATTTCTACTTTCAGTCCCAACTAAGGCGCGACGATAACATCGCCAAAACTAGCTGAAAGTCGTACCGTGAGCAAGTGCTTCAGCAGCCGCAGCAGCTGAAGAAAAAGCAATCCGTGAGCAAACGAGGAGGACGTCACAACAGCAGCAGCAGCAGTAGCAGCAATCATGGCAACAACAAACTGGCCCAGCAATGCAAACACGACAAGCTGAAGTCGGCGCAGCTTGGCTTTCAGCAGCTGATCGACAAAAATGACGATGATGTAGGTGTTAAAGGTTCTACTCTACTTGTTTGTGCAAGCACTGACCCAATTCTTTTACTACAGCTCAGCAGCCATAGCAGCTCTTCCACCTTTTCGTCCTCCTCGCAGCAGCAGTCTTCGGTGGACTACGAGGCGGAGGACGAGAACGAGGACAAACAACGCAGGCCACTGCACAAGAACGAGAACGACAGCTTGTTGCATGTACAGAATTTTCTCAAGTGCTTTGGGCCCAATGCCTACGCATCGGCAAAGGCACCTCCTCCTGCAACCGCTACAAAATCATTAGCCTTCGTCAAGTCGCCGGGTGAAGGAGCAGAGCTGCGTGCCTGGCGCCAGAATTATTGCCCCCCAATCAATACAGTTCAAGTAGCCACCACAACAGCAACATCGCAGGCCCCAGCGACAACCTTAGCGGATAGCACTGCCACAAATACACCAATGTTTCAAGCCCAGTCAAGTGCAAACCACAAACCAACCAAGTTTCAAATAAACACCAAGTTTCTGCGCAAACCACGCAACAAACTGTTGAAAATGCTGCCAACAGCAACGGCGACTTCGGCGGCAACCGCTCCCAAGCAACAGGAGCAACTGCAGCAGCCGCAGCTGTTCAACGATGATTCCAACGCCAAATTCAAAGACTTTTCAATCGACTCGCTATTGAATAAGTAAACGTAAAACACTATCGGATTAGCAGTTACACCCTAGCCTTATTATTTGTAGCATAATTAAACAAGTACCAGCAGAGCCCAAGTCGCGTTCCTAGTTCCCCTCCCAACATAGCCACCACAGATTTTGTTTAGCCAATCGAGTACCCATAACATGAACATAGCAACAACGTATTATAACTATAATTAGGTTGTTTATTTATTACATGCATATTGTTTAACTAATGGCGCAATTCATAACTAGCGTAAGAATGTAAATATCTACTTAAATACGAGATAATAAACCACAAACAGATGTGCTAGAATTTAAATTGTGCGGGCAGTGTGACTATGGTAAATGCTTGGGTGGATTCGGAGTTCTGGATGGGCAGTCAGTTCTGCTCCGGTGGCAAAGAGGAGTCCAGGGCAGCGCGCACGCGCATCAGCATCTCCTTTCGAATGACGTCGGGAACCAAAGCGCGAGCCTATTTAGATGAAATGTGGGTTAATGAGGTGCCCACAGGAGTTCACATTAACCTACATGAGGGACTATCTCGGCAGCCAGCTGATCGTGGGTCAAGTTGGACACACCGCGCTCCTCGATGGTGTGGCGTATCATATCCTCGATGTCCTTGCGCCAACCGCACTCCGACAGCCGCTTCTGCAGCAGGTCCTTCAATCTGGTGGGGTACCAGTAGAAACCCAGAGTTTATTGCAATCGAATCCTCGTATAAACTAAGGCACTTACGCGACGCTATCGCGGCTGGTTAATTTGACATCATCTCCACGATCGGCATCTGTTCCTGTTTCCTTGCTGTTTGGCATAGTTTCAGAGGTATATTTCAACAGTTCAATGTTTCCTATATTTTATTACAAATTTTAAGCGCGAGACGTAGGAATATTTTTGGAAACCCAACGCAGTGTTTTGACGATGAACTTATAGTTCGGAACTTGAATAGTTGGAACTAGTTCCGAATTGGACGAACGGACGTGATTACTGGTCACGGTTCCGCCTTCGAATTAACCATTGTTTTCAATGAAAATGGACATTGTACATTTTTGGATGTTGTACAGATATAGGATCCTTTAGGTGGAATACCAACCTATCATATAAAACATGCAACCAAATCATAATATATAATATTGAAGATAATACTTTGCAAATCCAATAATTAAAACTTTAAAGGATGTCTAATGAGCACCAAATTTAAGTTAACCCCCCTTTTTTGAAATGTTTCCCTATTAATCCCAGTAACCTTTGATCCCGTGACAGATATCTGAAATATGTACTTCGTGCTGCGTGACAGTGACTGAACGAAATCCCATCTCTAGATATTTATGTTTTTTGTTTTGATTTGCTAATTCTGCAATGGACTTGCTGCGAGAATTCGACATAAAGCACGAACTTAGCTTTGATGGCCTTGAACAGGAGCAGGTGGGTAATATATTGGGCCCAGTGGACTCCTGCCCACGGCCCATGGGTTCTCCAATCTGGAACCAAAGCCTTCTTCGAGATAAGAAGTCGGAACTCCACCTGTCGGTTTATTGATTTTAGTGACGCATCCTTGCAGTTCACGCCGAGTACCCGTTCGCGATGCGCCACTCCGGATGTAACTACTCCGGCCACCTATGCCCACATCGCCGATCTCAAACAGAGGCTGTCCAGCGGACAGTACACGCTACGCGACAAGCGCGGTAGGAGCAAGGTGTGGCAGCTGTTCGCCGTGATTGTGGACGAGAACGGAGATGACATCGAGAACTTCGTGGCCTGCCGCAACTGCTACAATGTCCACAAGTTCCATTTGAGCACATCCAACCTTATGAAGCACAAATGCGCCCTGAAGCTGGAGTCCCTGGTCAGCAATTCGGAGGCGAAGACAGCTCCAGGTGTTCCTATGGACGACGACACTATAAAAAAGGTCATAGGAGCTGTAACCGCCTGGTCTGTTTACAACTGCCGACCACCTAGCATAGTTGAGGACTCGGAATTCGAAAATCTGGTGGCCATCCTTCTGAATATTGGTGCTACCTACGGCGAGAATGTCAAGATCAAGGAACTTCTTCCTCAGCCAACAGCTGTGGCCCGCAACATATCCGACATATACGAAAGACAGCAGAGGAGCTTATCAGAGGAGCTAATGGCCATACGTGTCACTGGTTACACCATGTCCATGTACATATATACCGATAAATTCCGGGAGCGCCACGCCGTGCTCACCATGCACTACATTCAAGAATCCTCTGTGATCAATCGCTTGCTGAGCGTAGCCACCATGGGCGGAGACTTGCCTGCTGGAGGTAGGACTAGTTCTAAAACGATTTATAAACTCAAAGAAACTTAGAGTAGCTGAAAATTTGAAGACTTTTATATACTTTTTCTAATCGTACATTTATTCGATTTTTTAGATAAAACCATACTTGATACGGTAGCGTCAACTCTTAAAAAATTCAACGTCAGTGGGGATGATCCGGTGATTGTTACGGAAAATGATGAGAGTATGAAAACTGTCTTTGGTCAACAACACATCGTGTGCATCAATACACAGCTGAACCAAGCGGTTGACAAGGTTTTTAGTGAGACACCACAGCTGCAGTTTCTGTACGAAAAATGCGTCGAGTATTTGAAAGTCTGCCACAGTCCTAGATCTGCTTATTACACGCCGTTGGACAGGATAATCGGTGCGTTTAGGAACGTGGAGAAGCATTGGGGTACGGTTTCGATGGAAATCGCAGTGCAGGATGCTGAAAGCAATACGCTGACTGAAGTGATGGCCATGACTCGAGTCTTGTCCAACTTTGAGAGCTCCATAAAGGAGCTGGAGGCCCTCAAAGAACCAACACTACACATGGTAATCCCCCATTTACGCAAGCTTCGTAAACTTTGTTCCGATGAAACAGGTGATGAAGTTGAGGTCGAGTTGCGCCTGAAGATCGCATTAAGGCCCCACTTGGAGTTTATTGCCCAAAATTTTATCACCAAGTACCACAAGATAGCATTACTACTCTTTCCACCCACCAACAAGCTGCTTCTCTTCGAGGAGTCCGAAAAGCAAAATATTTTAGCCGATTGCAAGGCGATGATGGAGTTATTTTATGTGGAGTCCGACAGCCAGAGAAAGAGAATCAGGTCGGACTGTGACTACAATTCAGCGAGTATATTCAGCGATTTCATCACACCCCGTCTAAGTGATACCAAAACCGACATGATAACCCACGAAATTAATGGATATCTGAGTATGCAAGTGGTCCTAAGGCCAGATTTCAATCTACTACAGTGGTGGGAGGACAACGAATGTATGTTTCCGCTGCTTTATAAGGTCAGCTGCAAAGTTTTCGCCACTCCAGCCAGCATTGCGTTCGCCCGAAATATGTCGATCCAAGCCCGGAGTCTGATCAGCGAAGCATCAAGTTCCAATGGAGGTGGCGAACGAATTGTAGACGAAATAATGTTTCTAAACAATAATCTTAAATCAGTTTAACATGTTTTAAGTACAGTTAATTATACGCTTCAATTGTTTTGTTCTATTCATATCAATTATATAGATATAGCCTTAGACTTTAAGGTATCTATAAGAATTTCGTCTGTACAGCTTAAAGGACACTATGCACAAGTACCACTCTTTTATTTATCAAAAATCTGGTCGACTGCGGAAGTTTTTTAAAATAGAAACAAAAAGGGAAAACTAATGAATGGGACTTACCAAAATGTTAGACAAATGTTTAATAGGTATTATATTATTTCCGTAAATTGGAATCGCTTTCTCAGAGTGAATAACTGTTGAGACGTTGTCTTTTAAAAATAACGCGAAAAAGCCTGTCTGCCACGCAATTCAAAACGAAATTACACACACATCTTCAAAGCAGTATATAATTTACAAAAAAACTTTGTCCTTAAGAATTTAGTGTTTCATATGTCAAATGTCATAGTTTTAATGTCTTGTATTATAACTATATACATAGTTAAGAAAATTTTATTTTGTTAATGAAGTAAATTAAATTGTGCCTAGCGCACTAATTTATAAGTATTCTTGTACTTGTAGCGTTAGGAAGAGTGAAAACCAAAATAAATAAATAGAAATGAAAAATGAAAAAGCCAACTAGACTTTTGAAAAGCAGGCTTTTATTGTACAAATATGTATGTCAATTCAAATGTAGAATGTATACATTAGGGCGGGTCGATTTCTATGGGACCGTAAAAAGTGACATATCTTATGGGGGAACGTAATCTTTAAAGGATTACAGACTGGGAGACGTTTAACATGATGGACTTCGCTTGCTGCAATAAATGCAAGACAGTGCTTGTAAACTCTAGAAAAAAATGGGAACGGGCTTCCTCAATCGTCATAAATGTGAAATGGAGAGCATATGCTCAAACTTGATATGACAGATTTTTTCAAGAAAGCAGTCCTACAAAAAGTTTTAGATTATCTCACTCTAAAACAATTGGGATTTATTGGATTATTAAACCTTAATTTGGACAATCTTGTATTTTTAAACAAAAACTTAAAAACAAACAAATGTTTAATCATCGCAAAAAATCAAATGTAAAATAACAAATTTTGAATAATATTTTGTGCGTAAATGATTCGCTGCGTTTTCGTGCGTACTGGCAATTCGACATTCGTGTTCCTCCGGTGTTGTGCTAAAAAATTTTGACACGCGTCCACCTCTAGTATACATACATATGTAGAATACATATCGATTCGTTTTCTACATTAGTGAAAACTACTTATGTATATACATATGAACTCCTTTGGTTCAGGGACCGTAAGGATAAGACTTATTTGTGATTTTTATTTTAAGAACATAACGATTTTTGATAAATATCACTCTTTTTACTCCAAAATATATAAAACAATCGGCCAATTTAGGCAATAAATGAAACTACATTTACTCTTAACTGCAAAATTTGAAAAAATTAGTCTAGTTGACTTAATAACGATTCCCCGCCCGTTTCCTTAATTGATGAGGATTGGTAATAATGTGACAAAAGCTATGTTCTTAATTAAAATTTAATTTTTAAAAAGCCTGAAACATATAAAAACATTCATGATCAAAGAGTTATATTTGTACTTAAGATGTCTGTCTTATTTTTTTGAAGATACTTTTATTGATCAAACATTTCTTAAGCATTATACTATCCTCAAACAACAAGGCAACTTAATGGAAATGCATATACAAAAAAAAAAGGCGAAAACTTTATGAACCAAATTTTGTATTTTAGGCTTTCCATTGAATTGAGTACTAGTTTTAAAGTAAAAATCATTAGTATTTTGATAACTCATGAATCAGAGCTCGGTTGTGTGGCTCGTTAGCCATCAATCCTCCCACT